ATGCAGGTTATAGAGGTGGCTTTTTAGAAAATTGCGCTTTACTTTTTAATAGCAAGAATGCCAACGAGACAACTAAAAAAAATCGAATGAATCTAAGTCTCTCAAAGTATAGGTGATTTGCAGATTATCGTAACATTGTCCAATAAACTCTATTAATTATTAAAACACTTTTCTTTTCTTCAACCTATAGACTATACATATTTAAATTATACGTAAATAAATCGAAAAGTTTTATGATTATTTTAATTTCTCCACAATTCTTCGCAAGGAGTTTCATTCCTTTTCATTAAAAGATACTCAACGGATAAAATTTAATTAATCAATCCCTATTTCACATTTCTTTCTGCATTAAAGTTTATTTTTGGTAAATATGAATGATATTTGCCATTGATGATCGACTACATGTGTGTGTGGTCATACGGTCAACAAATTGTTCAAACGAATGCCTTGTGTGGTTTTAATCATAGCTCAGCTAATTTGAACCCGTCAACTACTGACAATTCATAAATCATAATTCATTACCAGAAGCCTCATGAATGCACATTAATAACGTCTCTGGAAACAATCGAAGTGTGTATTGATTGCTGGGGTAGAATAAAATATGGTGTGGATTATTGGCTTATAATGTTTTATTATTATTTTATCATGTTTCGAATCCGTAATAAAGCAATTTTTATTTATAAAGTTGATGAATGTAAATATTTTTATTGTGTTTCTAAACTTCTCCCATTTATTTCGATCATGATCATTCTTTTACCTCTGTTACGACGTTCGTTAATTAACTTGCACACGACCGTAATAAATCACTTCTGTCAGATCTTGTACATCGTTGTTGTCCGATCGTAGTTAGTCTTGCGTAAAGTTTCTCTTTTTAATTTGTTCAGTTTGAATCTAGCATACAAAAAACTTTGTTTTACATTGCGATGTATTTCAATGTTTCGATCAACGAAGATTTAAATAATAAATCGTTATTCCGAATTTGCATTCTAAAAAGAACGTCATTAACAAAGTTTGCCAATTTATCATTACGTTGCTACATCATAATATGTGCGTTTGTGGATTCGTTCAATAAACAAAGCGGTTGACTGTGCATCCCGATAAGGGTATACTTTACGATCTACTGTTTGGGATTCACGGAGGTCTGTTATGACCAGATTTATCATATTTCTGTGATAACGCGAGATAACGTTATGTTGAAAATATTTTTCGTGTACTCATCCATTTTTTTACTAGATAATTGTATATAACGAAATAATCTAAATAAGAACGTAGTCGGAACCGGCTCATTGTATTCAGTATGTATGGGTTGGGTCCCTTTCGTATAATAACCCTGTGCATACACAGATATGGTGATGTCGGAGATCGCCAGAGACCATCTCTAAAAATACACACATAACAAAATATATTCGTTAAAATGCAAATTTTAATTATAAATGAATGGTAAATTATAGTAGCAATAAAAGTTTACAAAACTGAAAAACATTCGTCTTATTCACTAAGTTTGCCGAGGAAGTTGATTTAACTTTCGTTTTGCTCATCAAAAAGCAACTGGCTACTCATTATAAATTCGCCTCTCATCAGCGTTATTCAGAAAGTTCTAATCTTTTAAATACTCGACAGTGTACAAGCTGACGGTAATTATATTTTCAATTATAATGTCAAATTAAGACAAAAAGTTTTTGACATCTACGAATACTAAGTAAATTTTAAGAACAGCGACGAAAAGATGTTTTAACCAGTTTAAATCTAATCATAGCGAATCGGTGATGTAAAAATAACGAAGCTGGTTCTACGCTTCGTCCATCAACCGCATCCCGACTATTCCAGTAATCGGTTATTTTCGTTCAGAATACCAAATACAATAGCCAACGACCGATGTGTCAAAAGTAAACAATGATTTCACGTATTTCAAAAGCATTTCGTGCGAAAAAATTTACGACTTTTTCGCAATGTTTTATTCAAGACGATCATTTACATTGACCTCACGTGTAACCAGAGAAATGGATCGTGTAAATTTTAATAGCAGATTATCCGGACGATACTTTCTTGAATATGTTCCCGTTGGATGCTATACGGTTGTGTTATGGTATGTTATGGGCTGAATTTAAAATATATGACCATGATAAAGCCGTCCCGTTCAAAGGATAACCGTAAACCATCTCGCTGATCTTCATGTATATCGCAGTAAAATTGAAATAAAAATAAGAATTTTGCAAGAATTCGTGTTTATCTTTATAAGAAGATAATGTGATTACTATTTAATTATGTTTTCACGTAAACACTTATTAAATTGCAGCTTTTAATTGTTTGAATTTTAATTCCACCTTAAAGCAGATAAAAAATAATTAAAACTAGGAACGAGCAAATTTAACCAATGTGTTTGCAAAGTGTTTTAAGTAGTTTCACTTTATACCTTGCTTGCATATCAACGATTCCAAGAGTAATACCGAAATAATTAGAAAACTTTCTGGGTGCTTTCCTCCACTTTACTACAAATTAAGAGTTTGGTAACTGATTGCTGATATAAATACCAATTTTAATTAAGAATTTTTTTTTATTGAACATAAAAGTTCAAACTTAGAACTAGAAATATTCGGGTTTAGCCATTTTAAGAGACGAACGGCTAAACTTGAATATTTCTAGTTCTAGGTTTAGTGTTAGTTCTGGTGCTAGTGTTAACTCTAGTTTTAGTTATAACGTTAGATTGTTGTATATTTTTATTAGACTAAAACTAGCAGCAACACTAGACCTAGAACTAGAATGTTTCGGGTGTTTCTACTTCTAGGTTTAGTATTAGTTCTAATGCTAGTGTTAGCTCTACTTTTAGTTGTTATTCAGCGTTACATTGTTCTATCTTTTTCTATATTGTGTGACTTGAACGCAAGTACTGGAATGTTAACCGAACTAAAGCTGATTGGAAACTAAGTAGACACGTTTGAATAATTATTCAAGACTAATTCACTTTGTTACCGATCGAATTTTATGGAAGGAGACTTCTAGTGCTCGCGGAAATGTGACTGGTTTAATTATCTTGAAGATATTCACCAACAAAGCTACAACGTTATAGAATATTAGTTTTAGTGAGCCTCACGGCTAACGCATCATCAATTATGTACCATATTGGTTGATGAAACGAGATTGCTTTGATGTTTCATATTATGGTGGTTTAATTAGTTCCTTATTAAATTCCTTATTAAATTAATTCAACAAACCCTTTTCGTATTAATTAAGCGATATATATATTTTTAAAGTCCTAAACATACTGTAATTATACTTCATTTAAGGAGATTTCATTTAGTTAAAGTTTATTTAGTACTAAGACTTACTTAGTTTTCGTGTTTTTTAAAGGATTATTCTCGTATTAACACGAAGCAATTTTCTAGTAGATCAAAGCAATTTCCCAACAAAGAACAGTTCGTTATGTTGCATCCGCTAACTAGGATTTACGTAGTTCTTGTGGTGCAGTGCTCCGTGAGCAGATGTTTCCATTTGGATGGTAAACCGCTTAAGGGCATTCTTATGTCAGCGTCAAAACGCAGAGAATAAATCCCCCTGTTGGTGCCAGTTGTTTCAGTTGTAAACAATACCTGAAACTTGGACGTTTAACTAAACGAGACAACTTAATGCTATAGGTTTACATCTGAGTAGTTCTTTTAACGATAAATTGTATCTTAGAACTTTATGAGCGAAAATTTGACTTTTATTACAATGAATGAGTTGTTGATATCAAAACTAAAATGATTTTTGTGCTAAATTATAATTAAAAAAAAGAAAATGTTTTCTTTTTTTCGTAGAGTTAATACTCTTTTGTAATAAAAACAAGAAAAAAGTTCCAAACAGAGCAAACAATTAATCTGTTCTCAGGTCGAGAAAGGGTGGATTATATTAAAAAGAAAAAAGGGCTAAAATGAGGATAACGAACTTCCAGTCGCTAGCACGCATTCCTAACTCGTTGATTAACCCGGCATCTCCGTACCTTCTTTACACTTTATTATTTTTGCAGGACGAACCATTATAGCAGACGACAGGGCAACGCTTGGGTTTAATCACGTTTTTCCCGATTTATTTGTCTAATAACGCTCGCTAAATCCGAGCGATTTTTCTGTTCCGACGAGAATATCAGGACCAAAAATATCTAGAAAAGCAAAACGTTGTGGGAATTAATAATCAGACTTTAGCGGAGCATCCGCCTGCAGTTGTAATTTATTTAAAAGCACTATGAGGTAAAATCCGGAAACATATGAAAATCTAATTGAATTTTTTATTCAACAGGAACCCAAATAAAAACCAATTTATAATACCTCTTTATTTTTAACCCATTGTGAGTCTTAAATCTAATTAAACGTTAATTGTAATTAAATAAAACTATTTTTTTTACAATGATTACAAAGCAGTATAAAGCGGGTCAAAAATTAAATATTGTATCCCATTACTTGGTAGAGTACCCTCATTTGCAAGGCAAATGTTGTTGCTTTTGTCGCCGCGGCAGCACGTGGCATAACAGCAACAAAGCAATACAGCCATTAAAATTAAAGTCACGCCTGAATAGCCGGGTCTTTTTTTGCAATGAATAAACCGTGAAAAGGCCATTTTTCCATTGGTAATTATTAGAGGGAATTGAAATTTTCCTGCTCAATATCCTGCAGTTTGAGTAGGAAATATAATTTTTATTTTTATTAAAAATACATTCCAAACAAAATGCGTGATTGGAAACATTTTATAACAACAACCCTAGTTTTGTTAATAGCCCATTAAAAACGAATTATTTTTTCATTGATTGATTTTATTCAATTATTATGTACATTCATTCCTATTAAACTCTTTGAATCGCCATATAAATGTTGAGGTAAACAAGATTTTTGATGAATACTCAAAAATAGTTCAATATTTTATAAATAAATAAAGAATAATAACAAAAAAAAAACGAATTTCTCGATACTGCGTTGGAAAAAATTATTTTCGTTGCTCTCCAGGAATTTATTATTAAAAACAAAATACGGTTTTTAATCTTTACAGCTATATTACGGCATAAATAAATAGTCGCACAAACATAAGTACAATCACATAAGAAGATTAAGAAGACATTCTCATTATATCTATCATTAATAATAAAAACTACTATTAAATTAAGTATTTATTTAATACGAAAATATTTCTAAGCGAAAACCTATTTACACCGCAAACAAGTTATTTATCTATGTAGTTATCTATGTACAAAGAATATTAAACAAATTAAAAAAGCTTCCAAGTTGTGCTTTGTCTACATTTTTTCAACTTTTCCTGATTATCACTTAGATCCTTGACATCATATCAAATATGCAAACTTATATCACATTTAGTTCCACACGTAATATTATTCAGCTTATAACACTAAACAGTTTCTACTTTACATAGTTTATTCCTAGCAATTCTTTATTATTAGGCTTCTTATATATTAATTATAGTGTATGTACAATTACAATAAACTAATATCACAAACAATAATCTAAATAGAAATGAGAAAACTCAATTTTTTCCTCAGATATTATGTATTGCAATAGGACCGTTAAATTTTTTAAGCTTACTTTATAAAATTAGGCTTAAATTCTTAGATTTGGAGACCTCATTTTTAGATAATTTAAATATCACTGCTATAAAAATATATACAATTTTATATTTAAATGTTCGTTAAGTAACTATATGTTTCAATTGGTGGAATGAAACTTACTAATTTCCGATATGCCGACGATACGACTCCCAAAGACAGAGAGGAACTCCCTAAAATATTGAATTTGGTGAGAGAAGAAAGACGAAGCTTGGCATTGCAAAATGAACTTAAATAAGAAGTCACAGAATTCATAAACCTAGGCGCACTCATATGCAGCTAAAGTTGCAATGACCAACTTGACAAAAATATCAACTTGATCAAATCACAAAAATAATTAGTAGTATTCCCGTTATATAGTATTCCTTGGACAAATAGACGCACTAACATATCTATACTGAAAGAGCTCGAGATCAAAGGCAGAGTATTCTCTATTTACAGGCGACGAATTCTACAATATTTTGGGCATATACTCAGAGGAGGTAGAAAAAGTAATAGTTCAAGGAAAAACAATAGGCAGAAGACCAAGGGGAAGATCGCCAACTAGGTAGCTAGACCAGGTAAAAGACATAACCGACACACCGCTTCAAGGCCCACCTCAAGCGGGACAATACCGCAAGTTATGCAGCAATAAAGTAAAAGAATGCTCTTAAACATAGATGAAAATACGATGCAGAAGAAGAACTAACCACATATTTCCACATATTAGCAAGTCTAAGCATTAAGTGATGATAAATTGGTCACTATGTTTTAGAAGAGATGGCATAAGTATCAAGTTTATTTAAATTATCATTTATATATTTCTGAGCAGAACCTTTTGATGATTATCAAAGATTTCAAAGAGATTTCCCAGCTTCAAGATTTTTCACAACTAAAAATATATTCGAAGTTCTAGTTCCAAAACATTATTTTCGTCTCCATCAACCTGAACAATGTCAAAAACAAGGCAAATAGTATTTGAACGAACTGGAAATGGTTATCATTAATGGAGTCGTACGATAATAATGATGGTTTCCATTTCAAGAACCACTGCTCACCCCGAACACTGAAGATTCTACATTTGGATATTCAACCTTAATTCCTGGCTTCGCACGACTATATCACTTTCTCTAAAATCATTCTGGATAATAATCTCTTGCAACACATAGTGAAACTACCATCCAATTTTAGAGCTTTGGTTTGCTATCATCTTCATCGCTAAATGAATTCTAAATGGACGCAAACAACTCCTCAGTCTTCTGTCTGTTATAACAACACAGCACCTGACAATAAATCATTAAATATGAAATTTCACTAAAAGACCATGAAAGATTTTATCACTGGTGCAGCAACCACAAAAGAGAACATTTAAAACAGTGGACAGAAAAAGAACCTTTCCAAAACTCATACCACCTTGAACTGTTAAAGCATTCACAGCTTTGAAATCGACATCAAAAATTATTCTCAAATATACGATGAGCAGGATATAATTCTTCTTCTTACACAGTTTTCTCCACACTCAGTTTTTGACTGTTACAATTTTAACTACGAAATTTTAAAAAAGCACAATAATTTCAAGATGTATAGTGTTTATCATGATTATAGAGGCTTATACACTATTTATTTACTTTATCAATTTAACGTGCCAGGTTGTATGAAAAAAACTAAAAGAAACTACTTTTTATATTTGATCCTGTTTCGTAATTACAAGGATATATTAATGGTATATCTTTACTTAAAGTGCAAATTTATTTCAAACTACATTGATATGCGGTCAGGTTAAGTGCCACGTGAATGACGGATTTTGCCTAAAAGTTGATTCGGATACGATTTCAGTGTTATAATCATTTTGTTACCGTTGGCTAATTAAGTTTTGGTGTAACCGTGTTTATACACATGCGTATACGCATATACACACAATACTAAAGTGAAACTAAACTAAGTGAACCCCTTTCACCGCAATACTCCAACTTTCTTCATTGAAAATTAAAAAAATAAGTCTATAGATATTCAATAAAAAAACAACAAAAAATTGTCTAAAATATAGGCAACGCAACAAATAGGGGTAGGTTAATTGTGTATTTTCAACAGTGTTTCTTGCGCCAATTAAGAGTTAATGAAACCTCTTCTTGTTTTCCTTAAGGGTATATAATTGAATCGGATATCGATTTTAAGATGTAACCAGTTGCAGTTAAGTGTTTACTGTAAACAAGTACTCTGTTCTAATTATTATCGAATATAACGACGGTGTTGTCACGGTGTTTACTTAAAGATAGTCTATCACTTGATAGATGTTTGCATGCAAAATTCATGTTTACTATATAGCGAGTTTTGACTACTGGATTATTGCAAACCGTCTAATCGGCAAAATTTAGCAAAGAAATAGCTAACTGTTTATGAAACTTTCAAGTATGGTCTAGTTCTAAAAGTGTTTCTGGAACCACATGCGCAAGAGTAATTCCAAGATGTATTATATTTATATTTTAGAAGTAGAATCAATGTAAGCCTCTATAACACTCTTCTATAACAGTAACAATGTATTGATCCATGAAAATTTAGCCACATTCCGAGAGTAAAATCTTCTAAAAATACTTAAAGTCACGAAAACTTGATTATTACTGGTAATAATGTACAATATATATTATGAAGTATTCTGTATATTGGTCGTGTGATAATTTATGATATAAAGAAATATCGGGAAAAAATCGATTCTTCTCCAATCTATATAGTCTTGGCTTTTTCAAGAACATTGTTACCAGAAGACTGTCATGGAAGATAGTATTCAACAAAAAGTTTTAGTTTGTTATGAGAAAATCTCTAAGATAAGGAATTGAAGGCAAGTGATAGGTGTAAAAAGTTAAGGTAACGGGAGAAAAGTTGTTGTTGTCGCTCCATTTATCAAAGATTTCTAGAAAAAACCAACATGATTGGGATAGCATAACCTGACTCCGATCTGCACCCGAGACGTAGTATACGCAGGCGATGCTATATTAATGAGAGGCAAAGTAGATTTCTTGCAAAGAAACATCCAAATATGAAAACATGTCTAAAAACTGAATGAGGAACAAAAGTAATCTATGATCCTACGCTTCGCTAAGGAAGAAGAAAAAGAAAACGAATAAAAAAATTAAGAATTAAAATAATACAAATATCTAGGAACCATGATTGGTAAAGATGGCAAGATAGATCAAGAGATACGCACGAGATACATATCAAAAGCAAGTGGATGTGGATTAATATTATCCACATCCAATATGAAAATTGTACCTAGTAACATGTGAGGTAGAATCCACAGTGAGGTAGAATTTAATAGAAACATTTCTTTTGACCTGCTATTTGTACACCGCTGCTTCAACGTATGTATCAGAATATGATTGAAACGATGAACGTTGAATGCAGTTTTACGAGAAGATGGCATCACTAAAACGTTAAAAGGCAACAACCGAGAAGCTGAATTTACAGTAACTAAGATTTGGAGTAGTATACCATCAACATGGAAGTTGTTACGAGTATCGATGGCCGAATCCTGAAATCTCGGGAGAATAGAATGGCGATAAGAACAGTACCAGCAATGATAAACTAAAACAGTTTACATATGAGATTAACACTAGTAGTGGAAAACACTCCGCAAAAGTTGTGGCATCAAACAAAACATACGTAAATAAAATTATTTACAACAATGTAAACTAAAAAATTCAAGAAATTCGAAAAAAAAGGTAAAAGGTGTCATGAAATGGAAGAGATATCTGGTATGCATTTTTTATGCACAAACGCTACACCCCCACAATTCGACTTTATTTTTATGTTGAATAGTCCTTTATTGCCTTTACTTTTAGAAAGAATCCTAAATCAATTTTAAAAAAACAGCACGGTAATGCGATATAATCTCGAAGTTGAAAAGAAAAGATTTTTTTATGAAGTAATTCTAAGAAAAAAGTGGTGGTAATAAAGGCGTCCAATTCAAAGCGTAAATGCTTCGCGCAATTTAATGCATTAGCAAGCTGTTAAATTTTAGTTGTGGAGTAAACCTCACCAAGCATCATAATGATGTATCATAAACAAGCTCGTCTACTGCAGATTGTATATATTATCTGTAAAAAAACTTCAAATCAAGCTTCAAACTTCAAACCAAGAACACTGCTGATGTTTTGGTTATTTCATTAGAAAAAAATTGAAACACGTCCATCAATAATAATATCGACACATTATTTGTTGAAGATAAATAATTGTAGCTGTTAAATAACCCATGAGGGAATTTATGGGAACTGCACAACAATTTAGTGGAAATGAGAAACAGCTGCGCTGCCAGCGTATGATACTCAATGACCCGACGAATGCTTTTTTATTGCTATTTGCAATAATTGGTGCAGTAAGAGGTCCAAAAACAATGTTTACTAATTCGTTTTAATTTTATCTTAATGTACTAATTTTTTGAACACTTAACGGGCCTATTACAAAATTATATTTTCAAACAATCTTATTGTCTTTAAAAGATTACTAAATGTTTCGTTTAAAACACGTTTTTTTTATATTCTATTCATTCATACACGAGTACGTTGTTTCTTTACGTTTCTTTATAATTAATCATGCTAGTTAATCAAGATAAAATCAAGAATAATTCGTATTATCTAAACTACAATCTTCACAAACTATAAATCTTACATTATCAGATTTCTAAAACTGAAACGTACATATTTACACTGCTGCGAATCACCAGTTCAATAGCCATTTCCCCTAAGGTCATCTAACACGTATTCTGTTTTGTTTGCGGTTGTAATTTCGTCTGTGGTCTAAACACATTGATCCGGAGTGGCTACTGGAGATATGTTGCTTACCCTAACAACAACCGTGGAAGTTCTTCTTGAGGCAATCCATTGCGAGGCTCTTCGGCCGATCGCCCCTAGTCATACTTTTTCCTCTCCGACGTTTGGATAGGAGGATCGAACGAACTACGGAAGAGACAGAGATGGGATACGGTGAGTTAACGCTTAACTGGTCGCGTTTGCGGATTTGTTTAATATCTTAAAAGAAATAGAAAAAGAAAAAGTGAATGAAAAACATTAATAACGAAGGGATGACTATTTAAAATCAATTAATTCACTTAAAAAATATAATAAACGTTCTTAAAATAGTTTGCTTATTTCCATTGGTAAAGTAAGCAGAAAATTTTCCTCGAGAAATAATAACAGTGATAAATTAAGGGTAATTTTTGAAAGAAGGTATCATTTTTCTTATAAATTTCACCCTCTTTCTTTTAAATCAAATCCATTTCTTGCAGTTATTATTGTAAAACACCCTCCATCATAAAAACGTAACTATAATCTTCACATATTTCACCTAGCACTAAAAACAACTAAAGAACGTAACAATTCAATACACTGGTATTCCTTTACTGCGTAAATATGTTAAGGACCTCTAAAAGGAGTGAGGTCGTTTTGAAACTTTTAGACCTTTACAAGCCATTGTAAGTGCACAGCATCATCCTTTGTGAATCACCTTTTCCAGAGTGGTGCAATAAAAGCATAAGGAAACCGCTTCCGCACCTTAGAAAAGGGTTTCATTCGTGAAATAAATGTGATCAATACTATTCTGTAATATCTCCTTTTAAAATCTTTTTTAAAAGAAGACGTTACCTAATTTACTATCTGGAAAATACGTTCTAAATAAAATCGAAAAAAAGTAAATGTGAAAGAAGAGTAATAAGAGGTGATGGTATCTACCTTACGTACCGAAACCGTTGTAACAGTACATGAATTAGCCCTGGTTCTAACGGCCCACGCAGACCATTTCCTCTTTATTTGTGCTATGACCTAAGAAAAGAAATAAATAATCATTAATGTAACAACAATATACAACAATAATGTATAATAATAAATGTTCAACGATTTCCTATACTGAGGTAGCTGGTAGCTGCAACTGAAACACATTGATTAAACTGCATGATGAATACATAAATTTAATGTTTCCCGATGCCCATGGCGTTTGTTGTAATTGAACTACACCGAAATGTCAACTGATCAACCTCGAAGGCAAACTGCTGTGTAAACGCCAACAATTTACTGCGTCTATTTGAACCATTTTTATTAACATGAATGAATATTAATTTTATTAATGAGTAACGAGCTTGTTAAATATGTTTAGTGAGTAACTAAACATTACTTAGATGTCACCGCGGTAGATTTCATTTTTTATATCAAAAAAGGAAAATATATTAATATTGAGGTAAAGATTGTGGGTATAATGGATGATAGGATGTCTAAGTGAAATTCTGCTAGTGTAGGCTAAAATTAATATTTCAAAATTTACAAAATATATGCTTCATTTACCACAATCTGACTATCTAATATCATATTGGTTTATATGATGGCAGTATACATCCTGAATGTTCAACAAGACGTTGTCCAAAACAAGACATCTCCGCACTGCTATAGGTGATGCAATAGCAACTTATAGAGTAATATATTTATAACATATGGTGAAACGGACTTAAGTTATTGAGTAGATTTTAAGCATCTCTCTCGGCGGAGATGAAAGCAACTAGACTTGATAGTGCTTTTTTAAAGACAAGATGTGATTTAAAAACTAAGGTGTTACGTGAGTAAGATTGGCACTTTTATAAGCAACATATCTTTATAACAGAATGTTTTTGTTGGTATGAAATTATTCTGTGGGAGTATGACTTTGACAATAAACATAGAATCACCAAAATAACAAATCCTTGTTTAGAAGACCATATCTAGGTTAATGTTCTTGTATACACAACATAATCATTATCATTCTCAAGTTTATAATGGGGAATGAAGAATAGCAATTATAGAGAAATAGCAACAGAAATTAAAGCTGCTCTGGGTTAATACTTGCAATACAACATTAAAATACGAATTACGAACTAATTAAATGTTATATTGCGAAAAAAAGATTGGGTGGAAAATATGAAAATTCAAATAGACTTTATATATTACTTTAGAATTTATATTACAATTGAAGTGGGAACGACGTTGAATAAAGCTGACTCGGCAACTTTGCTAACTCTATAAAACCGCACTCGGAAACTGTAAAGGCTTGATTTGAGGATAAGAATTATGGATGACATCATCACGGTATTTTCCAAATATTTGAATAACTGCATTTCAAAAATCTGGTTATATCTACATAATCGGTTAACGACGACTATATGGAAGAATTTGGAAATGTGGGTGAGCTTTATAAACAGAATCCTTTAGTTACAAGGGAAATCTAGTGAAAAGTAGGGCATTTTACCAGTAGCCCTGGAACTCGTTATGAATCTGAAATGCAGCCTTTCAAAAGTTGGATTAGAAATTTGTTAAAACATATTTTAAGAAATATGGAAGTGACGGAATTAGGTTATGTCAAAATAAATTAAATAAAAATAGAATTTTTGGTACATTCATTACCTTAACAATACCGTAATAATGAAATCAGTCTTTCAAAAATACTTTATCTCTGCATTTCTAATTGTTTTAAATTCATATTTAAATGATTTGCATTTACAGTTTTTGAAAACCTAATTTTGACTTAAACGGATGTAATCTGTTAAGTTCAGGAAGATTGATGCTAAAGTCCCGTCGTAATTATGAAGTTTAATTGATTCAAGGAAGAGTTTAATCACCGCCTCAATTATCTGTCGAAACTTTCAATCTATATCCATTGTAAAGTTACGCAAGAAGTTGAGGTTGAACAATTATCCAACAACTTTCAAAATTTCAGAGGTAATTTCAATTCAAAAAGTTACTAAACATCTCTGACACGGGCTACAGGAATACATTACGAGCAGAAACTTTTAAAATATTCTACATTAATACAAAACTTTCATTTATGTTATCTATTAAACTTACCTCTCCATTACAGAAGCAATAAAGTATGGCAACACACAAACCCTGAAATAAAAAAAAAATTTGTAAAATGTATTTTTTTTGCGAGTCTCTCTCTTTTAAGAGGTTCTCATTATAGAAAACACCTTAAGTATAAGTTTTCATATAAAGTGGTGTAGCTAAGAGTAATTTATTTGTGGTAACGCTGACGTAGTAATTAAATCGAGTTCCTTCTAACTATTAATTAAAAAGTCTAGAAAGTGTGGTGATTTATGAATTCCTATGACGGCTTTCAGCAATCAGTCACTTAAAATAATGGATTTCGAAGCACGCAAATTAAAACTTAACTTAATTCTTTTAGTTAAATATTCACAAAAGAAAATTGTTATAATCTACATTAAAAAGCAATTTCAGTACATTCAAAATATTCTTTAGATAATCGTTAAATTAATACTTTAAAAGAAGATTAATAACGTTAAAAAAACTAATCAAAAATGAAAGGGTAATAAACCTAAGAGCCATTTTCATGACGATTCGCGTTGCGCTGCAGGAATAACGAAGACAAATTAGTAAACGCTCGGAGGCATTTGCAAAGAAATCGATATGGAATTAACCTTGCACGATGTGCAATCGCGAGGTGTTCATCAATAATTTCGAAGAGTGGCAAGTAACAAAGCTCCCCCATAAAAGTGTCATTTCATTATATACGCGAGATATACAGTAAATTTCATTTAATGGTCCGCACATCGGGGAATTTAAACCGCTTCAACTCCATTTTCAGCTCAAACAGCGACTGCAGAATTTCTATCGTCGAGTTACGATGGTACTCTAACATTGCACCAATTAAAATCCATAGTCTCTACTGTTAAAATATATTTTCTCGCCTTCGTTTACTCGGCAGTACTTAGTCGGGTTAAAGAAGGAAGATAAATATAGATAGTAAAAGATATATTTTCTTACCTGATGTATAAAATCCCTATACATATTAATCCGTTATATTAAAATGGGGAAGGAAGTGACCGTTATATGAATAATTTTAATGCACATAAATTCGAACATCCACACCGTTGCATTCTTTATTAGTTAGTTCTACTTTTAGTTCAATAAAAATGTAGAATAATCTAACGCTGAATAACAACTAAAATAAGAACTAACACTAGCATTAAAACTAACACTAGACCTAGAACTAGAAACATTCGGATTGATCCGTTTAGAATGACTTCAAAATATTTTGTCCGTTCTAACGAGGTTCGCTACTCATAATGGAATTAATCAAATAGTACAAATACGTATTATAAAGAAAACACAAAAGCCCAATTACCCACCACGCTTTACGCCTAGGTAAGACTGTAGTCACTTACCTTAATTGCGGTCGAAGTTTAACAGTTGAAATGACGCGTTAATTACAATCAAAGGGAAGTTGAATACTAAGTTCTGCCACTGCACGCGTCTTAAGGTAATTGGTATCTGATTACTCTTAATCTATTGAGCGGAGACGTCATTCGCATCAAGCAAAGTAGCCGTCAATTAATAAAGATAATTAAGCTATTAGAGACGACATCCAATTAGAGGTAATTTGCATGGAGATTAAATGTTCTATTAATCAATACATATTTCAAATGGAGAGATAATGTTATTTGTTGATTAAACGTGAAATATAGTAAAGTCGTCAATCAATATTCCTTTGTATTGGTATTTGTACTTCCTGAAATACAAAGCGGGGAATTCTAGATCAAATACTGGTGGAAACCCTTCATATATTTACTTTAACATTTTGGGTTGATTCGATCAAGACTTTGTTTGAATAACGGAAAATTCCTGTTTGTCTTAGCAAGGTGTAAATTAAGCAAATATAATTTGTCAACTATTATTTACAAAGGTCAACCAAATTAGAGTCTATCCTCATATTATGAAAAGGAGTAATAAAGTTTGTATGCATGTTATTGTTTAATATCCGCTGCAATTGAATTTTGGTATTCACATTACGTTGTTATGGTGCTAATATTACCACATACCACGTTTACAAAATCAAATACAGTATCTAGATGAAAATTCCAGACTCACGTTCACAGGAATCTAATAATGTATTCAACAATTTCTCATATCTACATCCATTTTCAAACATGACCTATACATTATGTCTATCCTATTTCAAGTAAAAATATATTAATATTATTAAAAAAAATTGTTTAAACGAAATTACGAAAACCTTTAACACCGTTATAATTAAACTCACCTGGGGCGAAACTGTAACAGCAGACATAACAGCGTATACTCTTTCCCAAACGCTGTTATTCTCGGGTCGAAATGGGGTGAGGAGATAGTTGAGTCCTAGTAAAGGTACGAGAAGGAGTGTCGCTCTGAAATAAAACGAAAAATATCTCATTAATAAATGGCGTTGTCGAGAAGTTAACAAAACAACCGCTACAAAACAAGTCTTTGTTCACAAAGGAATATGGCATTACAAAATAATTATAGAGGTATAACATTATTTTCGCAAACGTATCAATTACCTAAGTGCTTGGAGTGATGCACGAGAGGCGCCAGATCCTGCATGAGGAGCTCTTCTCAGTTTTGTGCACAGTACTCTTAAAATGTTACACAGAAAGAGAATATTGAGGATAATGATGCCGGAAGCAAGAACCACCTGGACGATGTTATACTTAGTGTCATCCATCCAGCATCTAAAAAAAATAAGTTAACGTTAAAAGGGAAATTTCTGGCGAGGAATAACTGTGCGTTAGAGGCATATTTACGTAGAAAAGATTTCTTTACATCAAAGACCCTTCATCGCCATGCAAATTCATCGTCCTTTCAGATGCCCCGAGAAAAGTTAAATATAAAAACTTCAGCGAAATTCATTACACGTTCATGGGTGAAAAGTTTCGTGAATTAACGCTGAGAAAAAGCTTGATCGCTTTATTTATGTCGATAGGGAGGAGTTTATTTTCCTTTTAAACTATTTTGAACAATCGATCTTTTTTCAGAGTTTTGCGTCATGTAGCTTGTAAACAAGACTACTTATATTTTTAGTTAAACATAATTACAATTTCTTTACATCAGTAAATAATATTTTCATAACGATTATTTAATCGAAATATACACAAGATATATATAAAATTAACACGAAACTTGGAATGAACGTGACTTTGAATAATGATTTTGTGTCAAAACGGTTTATAGGAGATGGTGGTATTATAGGCGGGTGTGGTAAAGGGTGTTTTCTGCAATATACATTGAAGGCTGTTATTAAGTGCTTAAACCCGTGGCATCATTTTAAGGATTTCAAGGAAACCACATCGTTTTTTAATGAAACTTTATGTTTGTATGTCATCATATTTTTATATGTTTGTCATTTTACAAGAATTACTAATAAGTATTGTGTTTTTAATACGAATGAAATTGCGAGAAGCAACGTCGAAACGCGTATCTAGATTTCTCGGCTGTATTGGCCGTTATGCTAGGCTACAAGGTGTAGGTAAATTATAAATTGAGGATTGAAAAACTCGGCGCTCCTAATTTTTGCTTCATCTCATTTCTGTATTTTAATATGATTCATTTCTTAGATAACTTTTTATCACCAGCAGATGCTTTCCACTATTCAATTATTTTTAAGATAAGTGCTGTTACGAATTAATTTATGGTTTGTGATTTTATGGCATTTTCCTCGACGTCCGAGTTGTTTTGATTGTAATAATTTACTATTTTAAACTACTTCTTGATGTGTACCTATTCATTTTTAGATTATAATTTATCCAGTCGGACAAATATAAATTTCCGTGTTCGTTATTATGAGATGTGGAATAAGCATACCCAACACCATATCAAAACTGACGATTCTATTATTCTCTGAATACGAATTCAAATACGAATGTTAACCGCCTACACTTAGCATAATAAGTTGCTAATATACTGAATACTAAACTTCAATGAAAGACTCTAACAATAGAAAAGTTCTTTAACTGCTTGTTTTATATAAACTACGATCGAATAATGGAATTTGATGAATATGTAGTAAAAAACTGGGGTCATGTTGTATTAAATTCTTTTATAAATAGTATTATCTCTAAACCTGATTCTCATAAAGATTGTTGGCAGTGCACGAGTAAATTAATATAACTTTAATATCTCTTCGCCGATTGTGAATTCATTAGAACTGACAGGGAGTGGGAGAATCTGACTATGTAATCAAGTCTAAGTCTTGATTATGAATCAAATGATTCAGAATTAATGCGGTTTTAGCCCACACACCACTAGATCCCACATAACTGGGTTTTAAGTGATATTAAGCTATTTCACAGAACGTCTAACTCAAAGATTTTCTCCCTTCAACAAGTCACATCAATGCCATCATGTAAGGCAATATGTAGAGCAAAACTTCCTAACAACAAACGATAAATCTTTGCCAAAAAAAGCCTTCTTAGTGAACCACATTCCAGAAATATAGAAACATGATCTGTAGATATAAATGAATGAATCAATTGATTCACAGAATATTTTGATTTATTATATTCATTTCTTTTATTTTAAAATATTTATTAACTTACCCCGCTGTTTCTTCCTCTGTTCCATTAAAAGTTCTTAACGAAGCGTACAATGTAACAGTAACCATTGGCAGTCCCCATCCAAGTAAAAGTATACATCTAAGTAGACGAACTTCGGAAATGAAAGCAGACACCAACACGGTATGCAGATACACCCCTTCACATAGCATCCATGAGTAAGTCGATATGAGGAAATATGTCAAAATTATGTGCAGGAAACGACACCAAAGCTGAAAATAAAATGTTTACTATCACTTCAACTTGCTAAGCTAACGATATCGGTCGTCTCCCTTCACTCGGCCATTGCACCGCAAAAACTTTTATTCCTGCGGCCGTAAACCTAAAGAATAATAGTGTTACGGTGCAGTAGACACATAGAGCTTCAATCCCCGGGGGTTACGTATAAATGTTTCAAATGGGACGTGGGAGTGTGTATACGTCGTTTGCAATATGTAAAGGTTTCTTTTCAATAAAAGCAATCTTTACGATGTGAAAAATAGAAACTGAATATTGCTGAAAATCAAGAAACGTTATCGACGTTTCTATAATATATTCGTATCCTGATAAACTAACTTTAATATTTTATACTTCGTTAACTCTAATTGAAGTTTGTTCTATATCAAACTAATTTTACTTTTTAATATTGTTTATCTATCCTAAACAAATACAGGGTCTTATTAAAGAAAATAAACAGAGTAGAGTTATGAAAGCAACAGGTTGATTTAATTAACGCAAATGGTAATTATGGGACTAAATTGCAAGGAGTTGATTAATTATTGAATAAATAATTCTTGAATTAATAAATTAAAAAGAAAAATTATGATAATAAACATTTCGGTGTAGATTTGCAATTTGCGTAAGCAATTTATATAAAGATAAGGGGATGTCTATTATGAATTCACATCAAAACGTAATCGATCACCCTTTTAAGAGAACGATCGACTACCCCTCAATTAGAAATAATGAAAAAGAGAACTAGGGAGGAGGAGAAAATGGGAGCGACGGCAGCCTGAAGCTTTGGAGAGGTTATTGACATTTCATTATTGTTATATCAAACCTGATTACAGCAAGGATGTTAAGTAAATGTCGAATATTAGATGTTCCTAATTTCGCATTAGTGATTACAAATATTTATGTAACTAATTTAGGCATCTAATTAAAATTAAAATAAACAAAACTATTTACATCACAAAGAGTCAATTTTGTGCAGGAAATTTTGGTTAATAAGCATTTCGTTTACACATTTACTTTAGGTTGATTCTATACAACAATCAAGAGCAACTGTTGAGTGACCTTTTCGCTTCTAAATATAGTGTGGTCGGAGTTCAACGTAATTTTAGCAGAAAAGCGCTTTAATTATGCATGCAGAATAATCGATAAGTTGCACCTAGCGAAGTGCAAAATGTTGCTCGACTAAACTGTGACAATCCTGATATTAATAAATGATTTGGTGATAAATATTTCACGTCCAATTTCTAATTAGACTTGTGTAAGCCACATTTAATAATTTATTGTCATACCCATTATTAATACAAATATTATTATTGCTACTACATTAACACTTAAAAATGACACAATTATGTATCATATGCAATAACTTTTGATTATACCGTATAAGTACGTCGATAACATAAATAATGTTGTAATAAAACGAGAGGTATTCATGACAAAATTTAACCGAAAATTACGTGCTTGACGAACCACACTAATATAACAACAAAAGCACGCATAAAAACCACAAAGCGTTTGTCAAATGTGGATAAAAACTGAATACCTCATAACTCATTTCAATTTAATCCATACAGAGTTTGCATAAAGCACGATTTTACGTATTAACATTTAACCCTGAAAAAATCGACCAGGAGCGACATCTAACCGTAAATAACTTGGATAGCGTTGTATATAAAGCTAATCGGTAGTTTAGTAACATTAATGGAAAAGGCGAGGCTGCTATTAAGAGTTTATAAGCTCTAAGTGGAAAAATAGTCACATAAATTCAGCTATGACTTTTGTTATCGTTTTAGGGAATTCCAAAAAATATTGGACAAAGAAATATTTTTTGGAACATTATGCTGATCTAATAGAATTTCTAATAGATAACGTTTATCCAATTTTTTGAGAATAACCTGATAAAAATGATTAAGAAAATAAACCATGAGATATTTCTACTGAAATAAAACGTGGAAATCATTTAGAATTGCTAGGGACTAACTCCCCCATCAAGAGTTAATTGTGTTGCTGGTGTCACTCGTCGATATTAATAAAATGTGGCACGGATATTTTATATACGCAATAAAAACCTTTGGAGGAAGGTATAACGATTAGTTGTAGTGTCGAAAATGAGAATTGCTATCAAAACTTAATAAAATAAAGCAATTGTTAGTCAATACTTACGTAATTAACACTTAAATCAATTTATGGCTAAGAAGTACAAGACCAAAGAAAAGCCATTACGCGCAAAATTGAACGAAATACATGAGTTGACCTGTACATAATCTTGCAGAACTTGGAATTGATTACTAAACAGTTTAAAAGACATCATCAAGTCTCGAAGATGGTTGACCAATAATGATTTTCTATTTCTTTATAAATAGTACATATACAAAATAGACACGAACATTCTTCATGACATTTTTACTGTAGATCGTAGCACCGCCCCAACTCAGCACGGACCTTGCTCTTCAAAATCGAGTAGGTTGCTTCTTGTACTGTTAATCTAGTAGCAAGTATCATCGGCGAATCCATAGCTGACCTGATTTCGGCAGCATGACTTCGGCTACTTTTCAGCAATCTAGTAATGTTGGCATCACAATGTCTTTTCGGGGGAGTTATTTGAAAACTTATTCGAATACCTCTGTGATGAAATCATAACCACGAAAATTCTTAGGGTTCAAGCCTGTTGAAAGATCAAGATGGTTGGCAAAATGTTCTGAAATGTGCTTTTTATTGGGCGGATTTTTTACGTGTCGTTTTCTACCGCAAGCACTTAATGTCTGTCCTTAATTCTTAATTCGTTGAGGTAAATTGCAATTTATTCGTCATAATTTTCGGATTTCTCGATTAAGTTGTTGTTGTAAATAAGGATGGCTTTGTCTGATGGATCACGTTTATTGACTGGTGTCACCGCTGGCTGCCTGTCCATATGTAGTTTCGCTTGACATTTTTTTTTTGGAAAAATCCTTAGTCTTGACTCATAAAAATGGCTATATACTTTTAACTGGAATTATAGCAGATGTGGTATGGTAGTCCTTGGTGAAAGATTATAGGAATTGAGGTCATCATGTAAAACATCAAAAAATTACTAAACTAGTTCCAACATAGTTCGTTCATAATCTTTTCAGAAAAATAATAACAAATCTGAATTTCATTTTAGCTTAAATTACCTAAGTAAATACACCTAATTCTAAATAATTGACGGAATTAACCCACTTATGTGGTAATTGGAACCTAATTGCCTTGAAACTATTTTCCCTACGGAATAGATTCAACCTGTTGTAATCTATAACTGTGATTAAATTGTTCCTCCTCCAGAGGATACTTGTCAAAGTCATCCACCATGATTACAGCGATAACATGAGTAACAACTTGTGCGTACCTTAATCAAAAAACTTTGTCTATAAAAAGTTGGTATTACGGAGAGATGTTAAAAAGCAAAGAGTAGATAACAGTAAATCACCACTGATCCAAAAAATTTATAGAAACTTTTTTCGATATAAACTAATTTTTATTTTCTCTTTTATTATCTATGATAGATACTTACCACATTTTCGTTTAAAACTGTCGGATTATCAACAACGAGGTTGTACCACAGAATCCATAGGAATGCGTTAACTGCAAACGAAGCGAATAGATTCATGTGAACGGTAATCCTAGCACAGCGCAAAGACCTGCAAATATAATTCATTAGGATAATCTAACCATAGACCGTCAAAACTTAGAATTAATGTTATATGGAGAAATATTTATTTATATACCGTACTGTGATTGTCAAAGAATCTTACTTTGCGTTAAAATAAATCCTCGTGAATAATGCATAGCAAGTAGCAAGTATAATATTATGATGTCGTTGGGGTACAAATTTGAAATGAAAATTTTAGTTGAATAAAAGATGTTCGTTATTATTAGCGGGTTAATCCATTAAGATTTCAAACTTCTGTAGTACTTTTTTAAAAACAATTTCAACTTGTTGTTAGCAAACGTATATCTAAGTAGGTAAATTTTGTATCGGCCAAAGTCGATATAAACCCAATGAAAGTTTCGACATCACACATGAATCGAGTTGTCGTAAGTTTACAGAAGACTTCATTCCAAGTCAGAACTTCATTCAATTCCAAACTTTAACTTGAGCAGGAAAACTTTTGCATTACCAATAATGTGTAAAATTGATATTGGCAATTTTACCAAAATTAAATTCACTAATTGTGCGGTTCATACAAGATTAATTAAATCAAAGTAATTGAATTTAATAATTTAATATGTAAATATTGTAAAGCGGTTAAATCTACATAATGAAATATCAAGTTATATCCTTGAAAAATTGATTTAAATAAGTGAGATATTTAAAATTAATTCCACCCCGATTTGACAGACCGTGGTTAAATCGATATTTCCACAAATCCTAATCTAAATACTTCCCCTTACCTGCGGATATCTGACAGCGAGTGGGGTGAAAAGCTCGCAAATGAAACCTGCTCTCTACTTGATAATTGAAATACCTCCTATATTGGCTCACGTGTGGGGAATCGGTTTTAGGTCGTACTCAAAGATAGGGAATGATATATTTATGGTTGAAATTATCGGACCTACCGATCAAAATTTAAAGGGATAATTACCACGCACTCAAAGTGGCGGTTTCCCTCCTTTTGTAAGTTATTAATAGTCCATGTAAAACGTTGGAGCCTACTACAGCGAGTATATAGAGGTTTGATAATCGATTTATCACAGTAGAATAGCTGTAAACAATGCTATTACTGGAAGCATGGTTGCAGTCGATAGTGCCATCAATTTTGGTGGGATACCTCATTTCTGATTTTCTCGTCAACTTGTATAATTAACGTTTTACTTTTTTAAAATAGCGCAGTATTGATTTTTTTTTTCACATAAATTTCTATATTGACAAATATGTCAATATATTAAAAGATACTTACTTGAAATAAGTTAGAATTCCCAACGATATTATTAAGGCCACTAAGGAAATGAAGTATCCAATCTTGTATATGTTGTTTACCATTTGGTTAAACTGAAATTCAAACCATACAATTTTATTTTATTTTGTTTTAGAATAACATTAAATCGCCTTAATACAAAGAGCTTTTGTAGATATTGTGTAATATTAAATCCCAGTACATTTAGTATAGAGCGATTACAATCTATTATGTTGTTTTATTTGGATATGTTCCAGTAGTATCGCTCAAAAGCAAACTGCAAGAGCTGCTCTAAAATAATTTGGTTCATTTCAATAAGTTTATTGTGAAAACTGAAATCTCTAAATATACAAAGCAAATAAGACTTTTTTATTTTTAATACAATTTTATATGTATTAAACATATAAAATTTTATATTTGTATTGATGTTATGTGATAAGATAAAATTTAATAGGTGAAGTATTTGAATATGGGCGAGAGAATCACATAAATATATCGCAAATTACGACTTTGAAGTTCAAAAGCGTTGGGTATTATTAGATTTCCGGTTCCGTGAGTGTGTCACACAGGCCAAATGGATTCATTCTCACACAATCGTCCAATATATTCCTTTTGTTATACTATTTATTGGTATTCATCTTATCCCAACACTTTATTTACATTTATTTTTTCTACAAACACTATGTTACGTGAAAATTGGCACCGAATAAAAAGTTAATTGCCTCCGACAAAAAAAAAACGCAACTCTTTAATCCTCGTTCATCCCGGATTTCGTAAATTTACGGGCCACGATACATCGTTCTAAGACATTTTAAATTAATTACCGAGTTTCGTGAGAGGCGAGAGCTTTTATGTTCCTATTTTAGGAATTTATATCGAGTTCTGATGTCTAATAAAAGACATGAAGGCCCGAAGGGTAAGTTTAGAAAGCCAAATTGGATCGTAATTTCAGCGTCAGCCGAAGTTGCCGTCTTCACCCATAGAGAAATTTTTTGATGAAAAAAAGGAATAAAAAATAAATTTTTTGTTATTTACCTCTAAACTTTCTAAATCCACACATGTAGTATAGTTTGACCATGTTTTGTTGGACATGGGATTAAAGAACCAAGTCCCATCATCTTCACAGAGTCTATAAGCGAACCCTATAAAAAGAAAACGGATAACATTTAAATGGAACTCACGACTCGTCCAATAGTTTTATTTTTTTTTTTTTTTAGCTACAGGCCGTCATTCTACGTTTGTTTGAACCCCCAAACCGTGTCCGTTATTAAATTTCCTGGAAAGCCTCCTTCTCACGTCGGCACAATTTCGTTGAGAAAATTGTCAACGTTTACCGGTATGTTTTTGGCATGAAACGTGAGGAGAATTCACCCTTTTCACGGTCAATGCACTGTATATTAGAATATAACGCCTTCGTTTACCATTCAAAATTGTTTCATCCAAAAATAAATTTAATTAAAAGAACTTACTTGTTGTATCGAATCCTGTTTTATTAGGACATAGTTGTTTAGCATATTTTCCAGCAGGCGTATCAGGCCAACACAACCAATCATCGAAAACTCTAGGGCAGAACAACTCTGGAATAAAGAAAATAGGTTAAAAGTAAATGAATTAAATTATATATAGATTTGTGTTGTTACAGTTATTTTCGTATTTCCTATTTTTACTTCAATAAATTTACTTTCGTTTATTTCCATAATCAATTTTGTTTATTCTATCCAAAATATAAGAAATATATAGTAAATTTAACCTTAAAAGAGGTATTACTGTATATAGAAAACAAGAAAATAAGTTGTATATAATGCATCATCACATTTCATTTTGAATTCATAAATTTTCATTGGATCGTTACTCGTACCCATTAATAAACACATTAATAACAACCTGAATAGAACGTGGTTTTGATGGCATGAGTTACACGTGCTATGAGTTATTGTTGCACTAATAATATTAATTACTAAGTTAATGGAGAAATAGAACACTCGTCTTGTGTTTATAGAAGTTTATACAAGATAGCAACATTTTTCGCTTAGAAACTCGTGATCTAATTAAGCTAGCTTTCCTGATAATTAATTATTAATGTTTGCTAAAAATTACTTTGACCAAAAAAATTCCCAGAAAAAGCTCGGAAAATCCGTGCAATGGTAGTCACAAAATTTTACCCTTGTTTTTCCACCTATTTTACTTACCGACAATTTCGTTATCTTTGGAGATAGCGAAATATTAATGATGTATTTAATATTCTGTCATCTCCAAAGACAACGAAGATGTCGGCAAGTAAAGTTTTGTTCACCTTAACGATCAATAAACGGTCAAGCACGGGTCGGCGGTCGTCCAGTTAATTTTCAATGAATTTACACTGGTGATCTACCGACAGTTCAGGTGTTTGAAATATCTAAAAATGTTGTCCATATCAAGTTTAATAAAAATTGCTACATTGTTTAATTTTGTGCTGGAGCAATCATCAGAAAATTAGATACCTCTGGGTATATCAATACTGAAACATTGCAAGTACGCGCCTATGCCGACGACACAGCAATTATCAGTATTAGTGTACGATTTGACCATATTGGCCAGCAAAGCGCAGAGGAGAGGGCTAGAAATAAACGAAGACAAGATAAGATGTAAGACTAACAATGTACACCAGGAATTCGATAGTACATATTTGAAAAAGTACAACAAAACACAGATTACACAAAAAGGCTCATCCAGTAACGAAATAAGATTCCATGTCATAAAGGGAATGTTGAGCAAAAATATAAAACTAACTATACATAAAAGCCTTAGTAGACCAGTAATACTCAAAAACCACAGGCGAACAATTTCTTATGATATTTTAATGAGAAGTCCTACAAAATATATTTGAAACTTTACAAAATGAGGATGACTCACAAATTAGATCAATGGATAGATGTTGCTGATATTGTTAACTTCATCAAAAGTAGAAGACTAGGATGGATGAGACACATGGCATGAATGGGTGATGATGAGGATAACAAGGAGAGTTGCAAATTGGAAACCAAGAGTTTAAAGAGCAAGCATGGATGATGTGGGAAGGAGATGAAGAGCAAGGAGTTTCAACAGGCATTCAGGAGTGTTGTTTTGATGAATACCATCCGTGAGGAAGTACATCTTTGTAGCACTTGTTGAAAGCATGCCAAGGAGGATTGAGGCTGTAATTGTTATACGTGGAGGATCTACTAAGTACTGAATATAGATAAAGTTTTTATATCTCTTTTCTATTACATGCGTTTAAATACTTATTAGTAGATAGTGTACTATCCGATGCTGTGACCGCAGGGATTGGCGTCTTTGTTTACAACTTTGTGGATATGTAAAGGTGTAATATGAAAGTATGTAGATAACACATTACTGCGACCATGTGTTGTTACCTATTCACACTAGCATTCAAATGATCGCCGCGTAATTGCAGTAATAATTGCAGTAAGGCAGCATGTGTGAATGCTCCCGTGAAATGCATATGTTTGGTATAAAAGAACTTTTGCTTTGACCCGTGACCGTTGATCGATAGTGTGAATAAGCCTTGAAAGTTTGCTGCTCTCGTCGCACATATGAAAGCCCATATAGATTTCCAGTCAGCGACCTATTTTATATGTTTCAGTAAGTTGTAGTTATTCTGTCTATTATCATTATAATGCTTATTTTTTTCTAATTGTTGATTCATGTTTCAATAGTGATTTGATTCGATTACCTTGAAGGATTGCATTTATTTTTGTTACACTCTGTATAATACATTTTTGATTTGAAATTTCTTTAAATTGATTTACCGTGGTTCTCCAAATTAACAATATGGTTATTAAAGATACAACAAATTTTATTAACATGTTCACTATCTTTACCTTTACGAAATGTTGGTTACATCTTCAAGTTTCAATCATTTCCATTTTGCTATCAATGATTACTCTCATAGATTTATAGGTCGATCGATATTGAGTTTGGTGGAGATTCTCTCCTTTTTCCACTTTATAGATAACCCTATCTGAGTTACTTCCACCGCTAAAACTCTTATAAATCACATCTTTCGACAAAGATGTTCTTGCTGTCCATAACTTAGGTTTCATCATGTGAATTATATTACAAAGATTTTAACCAATTTATTATTGTTGATTTTACTCATAATTTAGCCCAAATTCTTTAAGATGTTATGATTCTACCTGCCTCAAATCACTAAGAAAACTACACAAAATAAACATTTGCACTCTGTGAACTCGCTAAATAAAAGGAAATAAAAGGATAATCGAAGAAGATAAAACGATAATGAAGTCAGCTTTCTTCTGTGAGGTAGCTGGAGCTTTAAAAGGATCCAGTGGAGTATGGCATGGAATTATCCACTCATCTTCAAATCAGTTTTCGTAATGTTATTTATTTATTTCATAATGATGCACAGATTCCTATTTCTTGCCAAAAAAAAACATTTTTTTGCTTCCATTTGAAAACCTTCTTTTCTGCTAATTTGTAAAATGATGATTGATTCTTTGGCAATTTTTATCTCAGCTTTGTATCTATTAACACCATCATTACATTTTTCAAAACTGCCTACATTTTCAGGGGTACACCAAGATTCGTCTAAATAAAAGGGTTTTTACCCTGTATCTATAGATTAGTAAAAAGCTTGAAAAGCAACATTGGGGTGATGCATTGAAAAATCAAAAGCTCTTAAAAAATTTGAAAGGCTTGGTACTTCGTTTCTAAGGTCCACGTACATTTCTTTGGCTCTCGAAAATTGTTTCACAATGTCATAATCGAATGCCTAAATATGATTCCTTGAAGTCCTTCATTACATTGCGTTTTTTTTCAGTCCGATTTTGCACCTGAGTTTTCTAAAATGCCTTTACTTTTGCATTTTTCTAACTTACTCCTTTACACCATATTCAAATAACTTTATTTAATAATCTATAGTCAATAACAATTTGCACTTACAATAAATGAACATTTATACTGAATTTTCCTTAAAACAGATTATTCATCTTATAGTTAGTTGTATTTGTATCTATCAAAATCACTATTTCTTTTTTCAACATAGTATTCATTTATGACTATTACGGTTGTAATAATTAGATTTAAGTAATTGTTGTAATCTATATTAAGCAGCCTTCTAAACTTATTTCAAATTCTTATATTGTTTCATTTTTAATGACCTCTTTCTTATTTTTAACTCTGTATTACCAACTAATTTTATTATCGTAGTAGGAAATGAAGAAAATTTACAATTTGAATTCGGGCATTCACCAAGTGAACCAATATCTGCATGTAAATGTATTCTACGATTGAGATTATGCAAATTTCGTTGCCAATCACGAGTAAATCGTGTAGTCAAACGAAGACTCACTCAATTGTGTTCTAACATTGTTGATACGGAGAAGATCTCAAAGCAGATTGAAAACAAATTATATAAACACATTATATAACATGCATTAAAGATGATCGTGTCGAAAAGATTTTCAACAAAAATGCATATGTTATGTACAGACTAAAGCGGTTCATTGGATGTTTACATTATTGTAAATATTTAGACTGGCGATGCAACGCGAATTTCTGTGTGTATTTGGTTATCTGCAATGAACACACCCAGTTATAATTTTAACGAAATTTTCAAAGTTTAACTTAGAATATCATTCATTTTCTAATATGAAGAATGTTACGGTTAATATGGTTAAACATAGAATAAAATAATAAAAGGTTTTGTTAAAACTGCTGAGTCACGGAAGCAAACGAAGAGATTTTATTAGATTCTATCCTTCTGAATCGCCAGAAAACTAAAAGCAATTCGATACCATCATCCTATTTCGTTTTTCAATTTCTATTTTTATTCAGTTTTCTCCTATTTACGATCTATTCCTTACATCTTGCTCAAACACTAATTATAAAGTTTAACATTTTAAAGATCCTTTCCTAAATTAAATCTACAAGATATTGTTAAATACAAACTTTGGTCTATTTAGATTTCTATTTATTTTCATAATATTTGTGCTTTTCAAGTACAATGATTGTTTATAATATATAAGTTTTAAAATAACTTTTTGTTTTCTTATTATGTAAGTATTTGATTAACATTCAACAAAAAATGTTGTTTGTGATATGATAATGAGATTTGAAACCAATACGTTCTAATAAAACCGAAGATGTGGGGGAAAGTAAAAGGTTATTACCGTTCAATCTCGAAGGTTTATGACATCAGGACGATATCTAATAAGAAAGACGAGAATATAACAGGAGTATCAAGAAAGATCAATTTGGATTGTATATGTATGTCACTTCATCTTCGAATCCATATTGTATAAGACATGACGTGCCAGAAAACTATTTTCGAACCTCATTTTATTAAAGTTTATGAGTTAACCGAAAGATTTTCCACACAAATTGAACCGTAAAATTCCTGAATTATGTGTTATGCCACCTTCTAAAGTTTTTGTTATAATTAAGTTTTCTAAATAAGTTTTTTAACTAAATTTAATCAAAGTTGACCCTTCAAAATACGTACGTAATCTTTAAATTTGTTAAAGCGACTGTGAAAATGGAAAACGTGTACCACACACGAAGCTCCTGACATGTGACCTACACACACTTTTTCAAAGGATCCCTTTTTTGCATCGAATCCAATTCTACTTTATTGAAATACGTGAGTACACGTACGAAGTTCTCTCGTCAATCTAAGCTAAAAATACGCGATGTGTTAAAGCGCACATGACTGAATGCGATCTTCGAGAAACTGTTAGCCAGGTGAAATGTTTTTTTTGCAAAAACAAAAGTATTACATAAATCATTTAAATAATTTTACCCCAAATCTGTTTAAAAAATAAATTTTAATTCGTTGAATTTTACCTATTATCTTCATATTTCCCGTATATATCCCTCAGGACACAAACTAACCATTAAACTTGATCAGTTTGAGATGTACGCCTCCGCCCCGTATCATGTTTGCTTTGACCCAAATTTGATTTACACCGCCACACGTGGATATACTGTCGTATATAGCCTAATTTATAGATCCATTACTAATGCTCTACAACTCTTAAAATTATTTACATAAATATGGAAATTATTTTTCTTGTGACTAAATTATTTCTCTATCAGATGACAAAGGGATTTATTTAAAAGAAGTTTGTGGAAAAAGGAATAAACTCGCGACGAACATAAAATTTAAAAATTTATCTGAAAACTCATCCCCTCAGCCTTGCAACAACCAGCATCTAGCTTTGATTGCGGTCGCTATACACTCAAAGGGCGTTGAGACCTTTTGATGATGGTTATTAACGATCCCGCCGAAGGCGAAGGTGCACCTTGACGAAGAGACTAGCATTAATTATATTTGTTAATAATAGGTATTGCTAACACAGGTGATGAGATGGTAATAAATACAGGCTATTAAAAATCAAAATAAAAACAAAAATATGTTAAAAATGTTGTATATACGAAAAGAGCCTGTTTAGTTATCGTCTAAAGACGCAGGAATAAACCCGAAACTTTCTAATTCTAGATCCAGTGTTAGTTCTAGTTTTAATTGTTAATCAGCGCTAGATTGTTGTATATACTTTTATTAAACTAATTAATACACATAACATTCAATACAAAAAAATAAATAATAAAATTCGGGTAACAAATTTTAAAAGCGAGTATACTTGAAGGTTAATAACAATCTTCAATAGCTAACGTTAATCACTGTTTCCAAACTATTAAATTAGTTTACACAGAAAATCAGAAACTATAGTACCTCAAAGCAAATAAATTAACTTGACACAATTCAAATTAATTTATTAACAGATAATTTGTCTGGGGATCTATTCACCTAACTTCCTGTAGCGGAATGTATTCGACCTCACTCAAATTAAACTTCAACACCTCCCTTCTGGAGCAGGTACGGAAGTCAATTTAAGTTAATTTCATTAATTATCACGCCGGCCGTATGTAGTATACCCCATTTATATTTATACCGACGAAGATGTGGAAGCGATAATTGCGACCATTTATCTTGTGTAAAGACTGCTGATGCACGTAGTCATTAGGGTAGATTGCAAAAACATCATCACGTTTCTTTCAATTTATTATATAGACGGGGACATTTCGTGTACGCGCCAAAAGTCGTATATCATATGAGGGATTCTCTCTACCATAAGTGAATCTAATAGGTTGTCAACACCGAGCATATTTTATCCCGTCTTGACATATCTTTAACACCAACTTGACAAATTAAATTTGTTCAATTTTCTTATTCTAGACATCATTGTGAAATGTTATGTAAATGAAAAATTGTATTTTTAGAGTGAATATTTAATAGGGAAATATGTTCTAATTTATCAGAGGAGACGGTTTCAGAATAAACGTAGTTCGGGGATCGTGTAAAAGGGAATCCCGTCGGCACGTCCTTTGTGGAGAGTTCTTATCGAATGACGTCAGAGGAAGGTGGCAAAAAGTGGCATTTGTAGACGTGGCCAAGATAGTAGAAGAGATTCCGCATTTGTGGAATAGATTTTATGTCCCAGTCGTCCTATATCCTGCTGGAAGTGATGCAAAAACTGAGCCCGAAAATTATCGGAGACCCTACATCTTCTAATATCAAATACTTCGTTAAACACCGTTTCAATTGCATTCTCTTCAACAACACATAACCAAAACTATCATAAATTTACAATTTGTGCTAAGTCGTATAAAACTTTCACTCAATTAGCACACAACGGTCTGATAATAAAGCCGAGAATTAAATGGGGTTTCAAGGTAAAACCTTTTTCTAAAAAAAATCTCAGGAAGTTTTATGACCGCAGATAAATCGTCTTTTAAAGTTTCTTTTTATAGTTTGTTATCAAAACTTTCAAATAATAATGATAATAAAATATTTAATACCTTACCTGATATGTTAGTCGGACTAGCATTGAAAATATCGTCACAAACGGAAGTATTCATATTAACTGATCACATGTAACAATTCGTTGATATGTCCCATAGAAATTCTAAATACGATCACCCATCAATAATCTGTAAACAATTAAACACAAATTAAAAACAATGACAAATTGCAAACACAACTCGGACATTGAAAAATTACATTCGGTAAGTGAAACAGTGGAACCAATATTGTAACAACATCAAACGTAAGCTGGTTTAATAAAAATACATTTTAAAGTCTGGTGATATATTGTGCAATCAAAATTTGTTAGCGCCCACGGTGGGCGCCGAGCGAGTAGTGCAATGAAGATTTATTGCTGGACTTTCGGTTTATGCCCTTTATCCCAAAAAGCGATAACCGCTACGCCAAAGTCATAAATTGAACGATACGATCATAAAGGATCCCAAAAATTTCAAGTTGTAAACCACCGAGGACTGTGGCCTATTAAGCCGTCTTTTAACGGTGATAATTAAATGTTTAATAGATTTCTGAGCATTTATAAGTTTAAAATTTTCATTAAATAAATTCTGCATTTACATTCATACATAAGTTCTAACATATACAAAGTTTTACAAATGATATTATTTTATATGTATAAGCGTACTAACTATACGGAGCCTTCCATATTTCAAACTTTTGGTTGATAAAGTTTTACCAGTACCCAAAGACTTGGGTTGCAAGTTTGTGAACTTATCTGGGAATACAAATGAATTTCAAAGTACGATATAATATTCCAAGATATCTCTTCGTTATCTCTATGTCGAACATGTTAGTGATTTAATATTAATATTTTAATTCGTAGTTAATACGAAAACTGTATGTTTAAATTTCAGGGTTTTTCTTTTCAAATGTTAATATATTAATCAATAATTATATTGTTGTCAAACGTGAATAAGGGTTAAAATAACACGTAAAGTTTTCATCTTATAACGATCTCCCCATTTTCAGTTTAAAAGCACACTCCGGGGACAAAATTAGTTCGCATTCCAGGAATTATTGCTTCAACACAAGCCTTGACAGTGACAAGGGTAAATGTGTTTTCTAGCAGCAACGTCCACTAAATCCTTCAATATTCTTGAAATAGTTAAGATAGCATTTACATGTCCTCTGAATGTCTGTGTGTTATAAATTGATTTTTAAGAAATAAATAAAAATCGAGCTTACAATAGATTATTTTGCGAAAAAGACAACATCCAACATGGAGGATTTTTTTGTATATACTTGGTTTTTATTTATTTGTAATGAATTCGAGTTTATTTAGAAAGGTGTTTAAACTTTCTGATCATACATCAAGTCACACACAATTGTAAAATACTGTATTCCATCAGATATCGAAGAAGATATGTATTCGAATGACGAAGATGGAAGTGTAAATAAACACTAAAGGTCCATAATTTTATAACTTAAACCGGCAGCCGGAGCGAAGAAATAAATCTGATCAATAAATCATATAATTCTATCAAGAGAATAGCTGTATTTCCAAGAAGTTTTGACACAAATGGGGATCATTTCCAATTAAATAACGTTGTTTCGAAGCAAAACTGTAGGTTATAAGCTATGAAGCATACAAAAGCAATTTATATTTGAAGTACGCGATTAGTAACATTATTTATGTCCATGACTTCTCTTAGCCAGAAATGCAAAATCTAAGAAAATTCCTTCTTGTAATTAATACATGTCATGTACAGAGATTTCTTATGATGGATTTCATTGTTGATAACTAATTCCATTCTATTCTATGGTTAATTGTTCCATACAGCACCTCAATCCTTTTTGGTACTCCTGCCATTTTTCGTCCAATAAGTTGTTGTCCCAACAAAACGCTTTTATAATAACCAAATCATCAGGTTATAGGTTATGAAGGATCCAATTCATTTTTGTAATCACTTAGATGTATTGAAGGTTCATGGCCTCAAAACTTATTGAGTGCAGATATGGAAAACCAATTCAATAAAATGGGGTTACAGCTCTTATTATAAGAGAAACTCTGAAGAGAATTCTGAAATTGTACCAGAAGTGTTATTTCATCATTAGATATAATCATGTTCAGTTCATTAACTGTTAACTGTTTCTATACCTTCTTTGTAAACTAAGAGGAGGTAGGCAGACAGGTGGGAGCACCTGGTATTATTCTATACAGCAAATCATTGACAGTTTTTTTTTAATAAAATTTCGATTTTGAGCAAAATTATATTACGGCATTGCGAAATTAAACGTAATCGAATTGATGTGGGCTCAAATAAAAAATGAGGTGGATTTTAAAACTACTACGTTTAAATTAGTAAACATGAAAAAACTTTTATTGGAAACAATCCAAAATGTCACCAGTAAAAACGGAATTACAGACAAAGTTGCGAAATTGCTATTAATTAGTATTAATGCTGATAGGCATTCTAGTACAGTTGAGACTTCAACAATGAAAATTTAATATAGGGCGACAGATTGAATTACTGATTTAAAACTATTGATGTGAATGAATATTTAACAAAATAATAAAATTCACCTACAATGTGTTGACCTAACTGGGTTCGTGGCATAATGTTAAATTTAATTAATTAGCTCACAGAATTTTATTGTATAGACGAAATAGCCAATAAATTGCAAAAAATATATATTTTTCCGTGATATTTTCTAACTTAAATTTAACTTTTTTATTCACTCCTCCTAAAGCAAAACATGATATATATAACATCGTATATGTATATATCTATAGAGAGACTTTATCGTTGTTTACTTCTTTTCTGCGACGTTCAGGAATGTGATGTTCCACGTTATTTAATATAAAATCCTTACATAAAGTTACGGTTGAGTGTAAAATTATTATGCGGGTTGTAAAGTATTTTTTTTTTTGCGGAATGATATATTTTAATAAAAATGTTTCACAATTACTGAGTTGGTGGGTTATTCATCATAAACCAGTAGTTATTAACTGAAAATCACGCACCGTTGAATTATAGGTTTATATCCCAAAAGAGTCGTCTATATAAAACGTGCGTTGACCATTTCCCGATCCTTTTATATTTCGCATGTGAAATGAAAATACGCGTCCATGCGGATCCGTCCCATCGTAAAAACGCCAAGCATGTGAGGTATGTCCCGCGATACTCAAAACCGTCTTTTTGCCCAGACTTTCGAGCTGAAAAGAGACATCGTCGATCGAAAATGAATATCGAAATACCAGAAAATACAGCTTGTATAAATTCCGCATTCTGTAGTTACACCCTAATAGAAACGTCAATCAAAATAATACACACAATGTTTCGTTTTCATTTCAACAAACACAAATAAATAGGTTTATGAACTCAGAGTAAAGATTTACATATTTATGTTTAAATTTCAAAATTCTTGTACTAAAACTCATGAATACATGCAAGATATTTTTGGGACAGGTAACGTTGGCATAAGAATGGCCAATCAATATTAATAAAATTCAGTGGCATCGAATAACCCACACAAACCGAACGATAGAGTATTTTCCACCAGAATTCCTGCTTGGGGGAAGATACGTTCCCAACTGTTGGGAACAGTAACATCTGCCAGCACTTTTTTCGTAGGGAACGATTTCACATTTCATGTCCAAAAAGTCTAAAAAGGACCCGTGAAAATGATATGGTAAAGTATATCATTCTCCAATTTCCGAAACAAACATCCCTTGAAAATAAGTTACAGTTCCATCTTAAAAGATTGTTTTTGTATTCACTGGAACCAATTTACTAATTGCTCAAAGGTTTTATCGACTCGAATTCTAATAATCCTTTACTACACTACCATAGCACAATTACTAAATTTGTAGATTTGGTGATTGCGCTTTAGACTGATGAATGCTCGAAGATCCACTTTGCACGCCACCTTCGTTAAACTGCACTCTCTGTAGGGTGCAGTTTAGTGCCAATTTCGCTCATTCCAATTAAACAAATTGAATTTGACAACTAAAAGTATAGTTAAAATAACTAGTGCATCAAATAATTACATTTATAACTACAAATTGTTAACCAGTTTATGCTATTTTAGAGTCAATTTAGTAAAAATGTATTTTTCTAAAAGTAATAGTATTATTTTAAAATTTTTGATGATTTGTGATTGTATCATTAATATTTTCTAAAAATAATTGGAACAGCAATCCGAATGCATGGTTTAATTAACGCTCGTGTTCTTCCCTGTATGTACATCGTCATTCAAACAATGCCGATGGTCGACGTGAATCGAATAGTTAAATCCAGCAAACAGATTTGTTTAAATTCTCCCTACCTTCATGTATTACCACTCTGATCGGATTTGTCTCGATAACACTTGATAGTAGGATATATCACGGATATTTCATGGATAAAAATATTAATCCGATGTTGTTTAGTGCTGTGCTAGACTTCAACTTTTAAGAAAAAAAAACTATACAAAGTATTAATTGGAAAACTTGATAATAAATTGTAGAAATCTGGAAATTTATTAATAGAATCGCTGAAACACGTTAGGAGTATTATTAAGGATAACAACTTTTAATCCAAAAATTGATTCATCCACTTTAATCCCTTATATCCGGAATTTACCTCCTTAAAAATATTAAATGGAAAACGGTATCGAGTAACACCTCATTTAAAGCTTATTGAAACACTACAATTTAATGGTTTGCTTTTTCAAATTGATCTATGTCATTCCACTTTGGGCGCAAACAGAATTAAAAACTTTAATAAATAATCATATGGTTATTTAGCCGGTATCGCGATAATTGTCACATTTTCTTTTTCATGAATAAACATTCAAACATGTCTTCTTGACGAACGACCCTTGAACCATCTATATACATTTACAAATATTTACTATGAACTCAGTAAAAATAACGACATAAATTTTAAAACTAACGATAATAGGGTTTCCGTTATAAATTCCTTTATTTTCATAAAATGTTTGTCAACATCAAATAATCAGACTTCATCTGGAACACCCCGCTTATTTAATAAGACTACTGCTTCATTTCAGGCCTCGTAGATTGGGCTTGAACGATTGTTTAAGAAATTAATTAAAGCTGTACTGATAACCGAGTTAGGCTGTGAGAAATTACATAAGATGAACCTAGATGTTGATACGCTAATGT